GCAGCAGCAACAGCAGCAGCAGCATCATCATAGTCATCATCAGCATCATCATCTGCATCATCACCACCATCATTAACATCGCCATCAGCATCATCAGCAGCAGCAGCAGCGGAATAAGCGGCGCAGCAGCATCATCACTAACAACAACAATAATCAGCATCATCAAATTGAGATGGCTCGTTCTTATTCGCTCGCGTGCCATTAAACACGTCTATCCGAAAGACTCGGTACTCGCCCTCTTCCCCTTCGCTCGTACCCCCTCTCGGGGGTGTATCTTCCCTACCTGCCGAGTGTAGTTGGCACAGCCCCCAGCACAGGAGAAGGAGGAGAGGCGTAAAGAGACAAGGGGAGGGAGGAGGATGGAGCAAGAGAGAAATTTATAGGAGGACGGTGAGGAGCAGCAGCACAAGCGGCAGAACCAGCCTGGCGTGTCGGGCGGGCGGACCCTAATAGGGAGGTCGGGCGGGCGGGCCCAGACGGCCAGGTCGAGCGGGCCAGTCGCGAAAGCGTCAACCCATCATGAAGGAAGTTTCGAGCGATTACGCGATTCCCACATTATCGCCAGGGAATACACAGCGAGAGCGTGATTTGTGAGTCTTGGGGGCACGGCACCGCCATAAACTGTTAGGAAGTGCCACGCGAAAGCGCGATTCCTGTATGAATTGTGGGGAAGTCCCACGAATGAGCTTGAATTTGAAATACACTGTGAGGAAGTATCAGGCGGAAGCCGCTGTTGTTGTAATCCGGGGGTCAGGGGCGCAGTTTTGCTGCAAACAAGAACAGGTGCGAGCCCAGGGAGGAGCACTTGTTCAAACATGCAATGGTCACTGGGGGGGTCAACAATAACTACTATGCAGAAGTGAGAATTCAACAACGATTATCACAACAACGACAACAACGACAACAATCAGCTGAAGACTGTTTGCTCTCATCTGCTCGCGTGCCATTCAGCACGTCTGTCCCAAACCCGCGATACCCGCTCTCTTCGTCTTCGATCGTACCCCCTTAGGGGTATCTCTCTCTCTCTCTTACCTGCAATGTGTACCTCGTGCAGCCCAGAAGGCAGGGGGAGGAGAGGACGGATGGAGGGAAGGGACAAGGGAGAGGGAGGGGGAGGGGGGAGGGACAAGGAAGGGGAGGGAGGACAAGGAGGAGGGAGGGAGGAGGAAGGGACAAGGGGGGGGAGGGGGGAGGGAGGGAGGAGAGGACGGATGGAAGGAAGGAACAAGGGGGAGAGAAAGTAGCAGGATGGACGCCAGGAGCAGAAAGCACGTGGCGGAGCCAGACGGGCGGATCGGGCGGGCACAACCTTAACGGGCGGTGCGGGGAGGCAGGCCCGGGCAGCCAGGTCGAGCAGGCGGGTTGCGGAAGCGTGCGTCCGGAAGAAATCGCGAGGAAGCCTTTAGCGATCGTGGAATTCCCAAGCATGAGAAATCCACAGCGAGAGCAAACTCCTGAGTGCCAAGGGCGTGGCGTCCAAATAAAATGCCAGGGAATGCCACGCGAGAGCGCGATTCCTGCATAGATTGCGAAGAAGCCCCGCGCGAATAAATTGTGAAGGAGCTTCAGGCGGGAGCCGCTGTTGTTTAAAACCGGTGGCCAGAGACAGTTTGGTGACCCCGCACTCTGCCATGTAAACAACAGAGCACGAGCCCCGGGAGAAGCACCTCAATTGAAGAATGCAAAAATGTTACCCGCGGAAAATCCGCAAACACAATTATCTATAAATTCGAATTCAACAACAACAACAACAACAACAACAACAACAACAACAACAACAACAACAACAACAACAACAACAAAACGGCGACGCCTCCTGGCGCCGGCATGCACGGAGTAATCGACCTCGATGGCTCCGTGCATCCGAGGCAGATTATCATTGGATTTCTATTGGAACCTGCAGACTGGATACACGGAGCAGTCGGCCTCGATTACTCCGTGTATTATATTTTAACTGGATTCCCTTTTTATATAAAAAAATGTATATTGGATACACGGAGTAATCGACCTCGATTACTCCGTGTATCCGAGGCAGATTATGATTGGATTCCTATTAGAACCTGTACATTGGATACACGGAGTAATCTCACCCGATTACTCCGTGTATCGGATACACGGAGCAATCGCACTCGATTACTCCGTGTATCCGAGACAGATTCTAATTGGATTCCCATTGGAACCTGCATATTGGGTACACGGAGTAATCGCACTCGATTACTCCGTTTATCCGAAGAAGATTCTCATTGGATTCCGATTGGAACCTGCATATTGGATACTACACGGAACAGTCGACCTCGAGAACTCCGTGTATCCGAGGCAGATTCCACTTGGATTCCCATTGGAACGTGTATATTGGATACACGGAATAATCGCACTCCGTGTATCCGAGGCAGATTCTACTTGGATTCCTTTTGGAACCTGCATATTGGATACACGGAGTAATCGCACTGCGGCGGCGCCGGAAAGCCATTCCAATACACATTCTTTGAAAATGCTGAATTTCTGCCTCCGGTGCCTGGAAGGCCACCTGGGCCGATTCCGGGCCCAGGTCTGGGACGATTCCCGACGTTCCTTGCGTTTGGGGTCCCAGCTCCCAGGCCGGCGACCAAACCGAGTCCCAAGCCAGGTTTCAGGGTATTGCCGGCCGGCGCTGGAAAATCGAGATCCACGGGTATTGCCGGCCGCCCAGGCGGCGCCGAAAAAATGCCATTTCAAAACACATTTGTTCCGAAAATGCTGAATTTCCCGGGCCGATTCCAGAGCCGGGTCCGGGCCAATTCCTTGTTGGAACCTGCATATCGGATACACGAAGTAATCGCACTCGATTACTCCGTGCATCCGAGGAAGATTCTACTTGGATTCCTTTTGGAACCTGCATATTGGATACACGGAGTAGTCGCACTCGATTACTCCGTGTATCCGAGGCAGATTCTAATTCGATTCCGATTGGAACCTGCATATTGGATACACGGAGTAATCGACCTCGATTACTCCGTGTATCGGATACACGGAGTAATCGCACTCGATTACTCCGTGTATCAGAGGCAGATTCTAATTGGATTCCTATTGGAACCTGCATATTGGATACACGGAGTAATCGCACTCGATTACTCCGTGTATCCGAGGCAGGTTCTACTTGGATGCCTGTTGGAACCTGCAAATTGGATACACGGAATCATCGCACTCGATTACTCCGTGTATCCGACGCAGATTCTTGAGTTTCCTATTGGAGCCTGCATATTGGATACACGGGGTAATCGCACTCGATTACTCCGTGTATCCGAGGCAGATTCTAATTGGATTCCTTTTTGGAACCTGCATATTGGATACTACACGGAATAATCGACCTCGAGAACTCCGTGTATCCTAGGCAGATTCTAATTGGATGTCTATTGAAACCTGTATATTGGATACACGGAGTAATCGCACTCGAGTACTCCGTGTACCCGAAGCAGATTATCATTGCATTCCTTTTGGAACCTGCATATTGGATACACGGAGTAGTCGCACTCGATTACTCCGTGCATCCGAGGCAGATTCTATTGGATTCCGAATGGAACCTGCAAGTTGGATACTTGCAGTAATCGCAAACGATTACTCCGTGTATCCGACGCAGATTCTAATTGGATTCCTAGAGGAACCTGCATATTGGATACACGGAGGAATCGCACTCGATCACTCCGTCTATCCGAGGCAGATTCTTATGAGTTTCCTATTGGAACCTGCAAATTAGATACGCGGAGTCATCGCACTCGATTACTCCGTGTATCCGAGGCAGATTCTTATGAGCTTCCGATTTTGAACCTGTATATTGGATACACGGAATCATCGCACTCGAGTACTCCATTGGATACACTGAGTGATCGCACTCGATTACTCCGTGTATCCGAGGCAGATTCCAATTGGATTCATGTTGATACCTGCATCTTGGAAACACGGAGATCGACCTCGATTGCTCCGTGTACCCGAGGCAGATTCGAATTGGATTCCTATTGGAACCTGCAAATTGGATACACGGAGTAATCGACCTCGATCACTCCGTGTATCCGAAGCAGATTCTTATGAGTTTCCTATTGGAACCTGCATATTGGATACATGGAGTAATCGCACTCGACTAATCCGTGTATCCGCGGCAGGTTCAAATTGGATGCCTATTGGAACCTGTATATTGGATACACGGGGTAATCGCACTCGATTACTCCGTGTATCGGATACACGGGGTAATCAAATTCGATTACTCGGTGTATCCGAGGCAGATTCTAATTGGATTCATGTTGGAACCTGCATATTGGATACACGGAATAATCGACCTCGATTACTCCGTGTATCCGCGGCTGATTCTACTTGGATGCCGATTGGAAACTACATGTTGGATACATGGAGTAATCGCACTCGTCTACTCCGTGCATCCAAGGCAGATTCTACTTGGATTCCGAATGGAGCCTGCCTATTGGATACACGGAAAATCGCACTCGAATGCTCCGTGTATCCGAGGCAGATTATAATTGGATTCCTACTGGAAGCTGCATATTGGACACACGGAAAAATCGCACTCGATTGCTCCGTGCATCCGAGGCAGATTCAAATTGGATTCCTATTGGAACCTGCATATTGGATACACGGAATAATCGACCACGATTACTCCATGAATCCGCGGCAGATTCAAATTGGATGCCTATTGGAACCTGTATATTGGATACACGGAGTAATCGCACTCGACTACTCCGTGCATCCGAAGCATACTATAATTGGATTATTATTGGAACCTGCATATTGGATACACGGAGCAATCGCACTCGATTACTCCGTGTACCCGGGGCAGTTTCTAATTTGATTCCGAATGGAACGTGAATGTTGGATACACGGAACAATCGCACTCGATTACTCCCTGCAGGGGGATTTTCGAGGAAAAAAAACAAATACCCCAAAAATAATCAAAAAATCGTCCAACAATAATCTGGGGACTATTTTTGCTAGTATGTTTTGTTATTTTTGGTGCATTTTGGGGGTATTTTTGATTTGTCGTCGAAATTCCCCCTGTAGGGGGACACGCCCAACATAGCGCTAAACCCCCCTCTCTGGCGCGCGGAGCGCGCCAGAGGAGCAGCGCCGGCGCCGCCGGCCACGCCGATGCAAGCAAGCCGCGCGGAGCTCCGGAGAGCTACTTTTTAGAGGGGCCCAGGGACACACACAAAGAAACAGACACGAATCCCAGGATCCCCCATATTTTCAAGTATTTGCTGGTTTTTCGTCGTCCCCCCCCAATGGTTTCCTGGGGGTCGGCTATAAGATGTTTCAGTGTTTGTTCTCCCCTCCTGAGCTGCGCCGGCAAAAGCCGCCCGAAAGCCTCGACCGGCGGCGCGCCAAGGGGGGGGGTCGGGGAGGGGGGGCGGGCGTCCTGAAAGGAGGCCGCTTCTTAGAAGGCTCCACGTCTGAGCGCCTCCTAAAACAGGGCTAGGATCAGGATAAATCGCTCCAGAGCGTTCCGGAGCGCTCTCAGAGCGTTCCGGAACGCTCTGGAGCGGCCGCGGCGCCCAATGCATCCTCCAAACCCGCCGATTCTCAGAGATTTCGAATTATCCCGACCCGATTTTGTCCCGATCTTCGCTTCGTTTTATCCCCCTCCCCCCTCCCCCCGCGCGGCCGCCCCCGTCTTCTCCCTCCCTCCTGCGCGCCGGACAGTGAGAGCCGATCGGTCGCCCCGAAGAGCCGCACGCTGGGTGCGGCCTGCCCCTGCCTCGCCGCCGACGGAGAAGAAAAGCTCCGGGCCCCAAATCTGCTCGGGAGCGGCCAAGAGGGGGGCGTCCAAGAGGGGGGGGTGCAAGTCATGACCGGCGGCACGTGCGCGGCCCAGCGGGGGGGCCAGGGACGTCATGAAATAAGAAGAGGCGCCACGAAATCCGGAGAAATGTCATGGCCCCCGCCATGATATCCCCCCCCCCCTAGTCATCACCCCCCTCTTTTCCGCTCCCGACATCTACTACAGACAAGGCCCGCGCCTCCCGGGAAGCAGGGGTGCTCCTCGGAGGCCTCCCTCCCCCCTATACACCCTCTGCGCGTGGCCGGCTCCGGGCTCATGGGCGGTCTTCGGGCCACACCGCGGGCCTCCGGCGGCCGCTCGGGACGTCTCCGTCACCCCTCAGAGGGCTCTCGACGAGGAGCAGCTGATGGAAACCACCCCGCTGCCCGGTAAGCTCGGAGCGTTCTCGAACACCCAAGAACAATCACAGCAAATCATCGGGATTGGAGACATCAAATCAAATCAAAGAAAAATCGTCTGAATTCGAAATCGGGGACGTACTGGCCCGGGCCAGTCCAGACCAGGGTCGGTCAGGCCTTGCAGGATCCTGCAGGATCCTGCAAGATCCTGCACACTCCTGCATGCACGCCGGGGCCAGTGCACCCATGGCCCTACAGTTATGTCGGGCGTGTCCCCCTACAGGGGGAGCTTCGACGAAAAATAAAAAATGCCCCGAAAATACTCCAAACAATGAAAAAATACTCAAAACATAATCCCCAGACTATTTTTGGACTATGTTTTGATTATTTGTTGTATATTTTTTATTTTTCGTCGAAAATCCCCTGTAGGGGGACAGGCCCGACATAACCCTACAGGATCCTGCAAAACCCAGCGCTCTGGCTGACCCGCGTCTGCATGGACCCCCCGTCACTGAAGCCCCCACCAAAGCCCCCTCCGAGCGTGGTCAGCGGAAGCCTCGGGCCCGAGACCCCGGAGACTTCGGCCTCGAAGCGACCTCCTGGCAGCCCTTTGGGTGACCCGAAAGGAGGTCCAGCTGAAAGGGGGTGGTGCAATAAACCTGGGGCACTTGTATCGCAAGTGTACTGCGCCGGAGAACTGCACTGCTTGCACGTAGCACATTGCGCGCGAGAACGCAGCAATACACTTGCGCCCCGAAATGTATTGCACACCCCAAACCCTCGCCCTCTTTCTTCCAGCCCTTCCGTGCTGACCTTCCACACCCATGCGCTTCGGGAGATGCTGAGTTGTCTTGCGCTTCCTGAGGCTTTCGATAGTTTCAGTGCATCGCCCTCCGCGCCTTCCGCGGAGGTCGGAAGGTATGGAAGGTGGACACAGAGATCCGACGCCGTGATTGTTTCAATGCGGGGTCCCCGGAAAAACTCGACCCATCCCCCAGGACCGGTTCTTCATCCTGAGTCGCGTTTTGCCGCTCCCGAGGCCCGGCGAGGGCCCCTGGGGGCCGAAGTCTGCGAACGACCTCCGTCTTGATTCGATCTCTGGGGAGGTGGCGGGGTCTGCGTTGACCCCACAGATCTGTGCACCAGATCTATGGCACCACCCCCGCCTGGGTCAGCCCGCCAGCCCGAGGCCCGCGGCGGCGGCGGCGAGCGGAGCCAGAGGGCACGGCGGGGGGGGCGGGCCCTGGATCTGCACCGTGAGCACGGGGGAGGCGCCGAGCTCCTCAGCGGGCGGGGCCCAGGGGCGAGGAGCAGGAGCCTGGGCCTCCCAGGTGCTTCCCCTCCTCCTCCTCCTCCTCCTCCTCCTCCTCCTCCTCCTCATCCTCACTCCTCCTCCTCCTCCTCCTCCTCCTCCTCCTCCTCCTCGTCCTCTCCTTCGCCTCCCTCCTCCTCCTCCTCTCTCCTCCTCCTTCCTCCTCCTCCTCCTCCTCCTCCTCCTTCCTCCTCCTCCTCCGCCTCCTCCTCCTCCTCCTCCCCTCCTCCTCGCTCCTCCCTCCTCCTCCTCCTCTCCCTCCTCTCCTCCTCCTCCTCCTCCTCCCCTCCTCCTCCTCCTCCTCCTCCCTCCTCCTCTCTCCTCCACCTCCTTCTCCTCCTCCTCCTCCTCCTCCTATCCTCCCCTCCTCCACCTCCTCTCCTCCTCCTCCACCTCCCCTCCTCCTCATCCTCCCCCTCCTCCCCCTCCTCCTCCTCCTCCTCCCCTCCTCCTCCTCTCCTCCTCCTCCTCCTCCTCCTCCTCCTCCTCTCCTCCTCGCTCCTCCTCCCTCTCCCCTCCTCCTCCTACCTCCTCCTCCTCCTCTCCTCCTCCTCCTCCTCCTCCTCCTCCTCCTCCTCCTCCTCCTCCTCTCCTCCTCCTCCTCCTCCTCCTCCTCCTCCTCCTCCTCCTCCTCCTCCCCCTCCTCCCGGAGGAGACCCGGTCTAGGCTAGTCTAGAAAAAAAAGGCCGCCTAGATGGGGTCGGAGTCGATGGGGTCGGAGGATCGCGCCGCATCGCCGACGCACCGCCGATGCGAGTCGATGTGGAGCCCGATGTGCTTCACGTCGTCGTCGGCGATGCATCGCTGGCGTCGACCATGCGTCGCCGGTGCATGCCCGATGCATCGCCGATGCATCGCCGATGCGGCGCGATCCTCCGACCCCATCTGTTCCGACCCCATCTAGGAGGCCTCTAAATAAAAGGATCCCCAACCCTTTGGGAGGGGACCTAAGTTAGAGGAGCCTGACATTAGGGATAGGGTTTTTTTTCTGCAGATCTATCGAACTTAACCGCCCAGAATTATCAGCCCCAAATGCAAAGACCAGGACCCGAGTAAGGCCACGTCTTCACTGTGTTATTAGGGTTAGGGGTACTTCTATTCTCGATGAAGGGGGGACACTGCGCACGAATAAGACGAGGCCAGGACGAGGACAAAATCGGATGAGGAGAAGTCGGGAATCTCTGCGATCTGGCGGCTCTTGAGGATCTCTCGGGTGCCGCGGCCTTCTCAAAGCGTTCCGGGACGCTCTGAGAGCGTGCCAGAACGATCTGGAAGGGATTGTTGCTCGTCCGTGCCCCGTCCGAGCCCAGGGACACACAAATCAGTACACACAAATCCCAGGATGCACCATATTTGTTCAAATGTGTCCGTCCTCCCCTCCACGTCGCATGCGTTCCGAATTTTTCTTCTGGGCATCGACGATTCTTTCTGTCAACGTGTTTCTCCACTCGTGACATGCGCAAGAAGCACGTCAAACATGGGACGCAGAAAGACATACTAGTACTATGCGTCCTCCTTGGAGGCGTGCATCCGAAACGATCATATAGCACGTCCATCTTATAGTGTACCGTTTCCCCAGCGGTACGGTCCGAAAGCGCCCACCATGGAGCTTTTCCTTTAAGATTTCTCGGTGCGCACGTCGCCCTCCTACAGGCGGATCTGGGGAAAAACATAGAAATGTCTAAAACAATGATCAAACATAGTCAAGCACAGAATAAAATCGCGCCCCCAGACTGAAAAAGAAAATCCTCCTGTGGAGGGACATGCCCGACCCAGATGTTGGATCCCTGTGTCGGCGTGGCGCCGAAAGCACGTCCGGCCGTGCCCGGGCGGGGCGGCCGAGACCCTGCCGAGCGCGCGCGCGCAGCCGTCGCGCACCGCCTCGCGCGCTGCTGGCGGCGGCGCGCCCTCCGGAGGGGCGGCCGAGCGGGCGCCGCGCCCCCCCAGGGCGGGCGGCGGAAAGGGAGGGGGGGTCTCTTGCGCGAGATGGCGAGGCGGGGACTTGTCCATGTCCACTGGCTAAGAACAAAAACGTCCTGTAGTTCGGCCCCTGGGAGCCCCTCGCCCTCACTCTTCCAGACCTTCCGTGCTGACCTTCCACACTCTTGCGCTCCGTGAAACGCCGACTTGTCCTGCGCTGCCTGAGGCTTCCGATAGTTTTGATGCATCACCTTCCGCGCCTTCCGCAGAGGTCGGAAGGTATGGAGGATGGCGGTGCAGGGACGTCCTGTGTTTCGGCCCCTGGGGGCCCGAACATGTCCACATCCGCCGCCTGCCGAGGCTCCGAGAACTGACCCTCCTCCCCCTCTTCCTCCTCCCCCTCCTCCTCCTCCTCCTCCTCCTCCTCCTCCTCCTCCTCCTCCTCCTCCTCCTCCTCCTCATGCATAAATTCCCGCCTCGGAGGGGTGGCACAGCGACCTTACGCGGTGGCTTGCGCGGGCCGCCGGCGCGGCACGCCCTCCAGGAGACGAGGGCGCTCGCGCGCGAGCTGGCGCGGGCAGCTTGCGCGCCCATGTCGGCGAAGACGACCCTCCTCCTCCTCCTCCTCCTCCTCTCCTCCTCCTCCCCTCCTTCCTCCTTCCTCCTCCTCCTCCCTCCGCCCCTCCTCCTCCTCCTCCTCCTCCTCCTCCTCCTCCTCCTCCTCCTCCTCCTCCTCCTCCTCCTCCATTTTTGCGTCGCCCAGGTGGCGCCGCGGCCCTCGCGCGGTGCCGCGCCACAGCCCGTGCGGCGGTCAGGCGGCAAGCTTCTGCAGCGCCTCTGGGAAGGGCCGGCCGGGCTCGGTGGCGACGAGGGCCACCTGCTGGGGGCGCGCCCAAGGTCGCCATGGAGGAGGGGCCCCACATCGACATGTGAGCCCTACCCCTGCAGGTCAGACTCCTGCGGGTCAGAATCTGAACGGTGCCTGTAGCCGAGTGAGCCCCAGGGGGAGGGCCAGGTGCCCTAGCGTCGATTGGACCCGCATGTGGCAAGGTTCGCGAGTGGAGGGGAGCGGCGGCTGTCGCAAGAGGTGTCCCTGGGGCGCGCGGTGCCCCCAGGATGTCCAAAGGGGGCCCCCACGGCCTGTATAGAGCACCCCTCGCGAAGCCCAGAGGAGCTCGGGGGGTTCCAGAACACAGAGAGGAAGCCATGGCCAAGAGGCACCCTCTCGGCAACCCCCCGAGGGAAGGGCACCACTGGAGGTTCGCCGCCCTCCTCCAGCTCCTGGGGCCCTCCTGGGGCCCTCCCGGGGCCGCCCAGCAACGACTCGGGAGGAGAGGCCAGCCCCGGGCGAAGGCCCCTACAGCCGGACCTGCGCCAGAAGAACGTCCTTCAAGGACACGAGACCCTCCGCCGCCCAAACACACCCCAAACCCTGAGATCATGGGAGGGTGCCCTCCGCCAGGATGCATAAGAGCACCCAGCAAACACGAGGAACATGAGGGCACCCTGCCCGAAGCGACCTCGATCGTACACCTCGGTCCGACTGCAGATCCAGGGTCGCCCCTCCCGCTCGGGAATTTCCCCCCCTCCCTCCCCCCTCCCTTTTCCCCCTCCACCCCCCTCCCCCCCCCCCGCGCGGCGGCTAATTCCCAACCACCCATCCCGTGCGTGCCCGCCCGAGGATCGTGCCCCTCGCGCACACGGATTCTGTCCCTCCTGCATGACGGTAATTCCTAAACCCCCATATCGTATACGTGCCCGCACACGGATTCTGTCCCTTCCGCATGGCGGCTAATGCCTAAACCCGATATCGCACGCGTGCCCGGACACAGTGTCTGCCCTTCCCGCATGGCGGCGAATTTCTAACACCCCTTATCGCATGCGCGCAGGCACACGGATTCTCCCCCTCCCGCATGGCGTCGAACTCCCCCCCACCGCACGTGCCCAAACCCGTAGATATCCCATGCGTGCCCCCTGGGGGATGGCGTGAATTCCACGTGGGCGCGCTCGAAGATTGCCGCGATGGCCGACATTGAGTGCACTCTGATTGTATGATTGCGTATGTAATGGGTATCCCGGGTGGGTGGGATGTGAGCGCCGCAGCAGTGTGAGCAGCGTCGAGTGTGTTGCGACGCTCGTGCCTGTTGACCCTACACTCGCCCAGGGCCGCTTGGCCCGTATCCACCCACCCGTTTAGCAATCAAACTACCTCCCGGCCGAGCGCGAATATCAGGCCAGCCCAAGCAGAGTCTCGGTTGCCGTCAGGCATGGCCCGCGAGGGCCTTATCTATTATCAATGATGCGGCTTACGCGCAAGCGATTATCCTGTGCCCGCCTGGGCGATCATCTAAGAGACGCATAACCCTAAAGTATCAAGCCTGTTCACCGTGACGCGCGCCCTGGCCCCCCCTGGAGCGTCAACGCAAAATCGCTAAAAGACACGGATTGACACTGGCACTTTCTTTCGACCTCGAATCCTAAAGTTTTCCAGAGTGGACCCCCCGATCGGCTGGCTTGCAAAAGACGCTTCCTGGCGTGAATCAACTCCCGCCTGAGGGCGCTCCTGGGCGTCCCAGAGACGCTCCGTGGCGATGCCAGCGCCCCTGGAGAGCCCGTGGGACCCTCTGGCGCGCGCCACGGTGAATTAGCTCCCGCACGAGGGCCCAGGGCGCTCCTGGGCGCCGCAGAGGCGCCAGGGCGCGTGTCCGCCTGGGCGCCCCTGGGGAGCCCGTGAGCCCCCCTGGCACGCGTCACGGTGAATTAGCTCCCGCCCGAGGCCCCGGGGCGCTTCTGGGCGTCACAGCCACCTTTCTCGAGGCGAACGACAACCCCGCCGAGGAGGACTTCTCCAGCTGAGCTGACTGTAGGACCCAAAAGGGTATCTGTGTACGTGTGATACACAAAGCACTGTACGTCGCACGCATGAGAAAAATCGCCAAACCGATTGGAATCCTGGACCCCTAAGAGAAAGAGAATCGCGATCACCAAAGGAACCCTAATCCCTAATAGAGAAAGCCGTGGGTGGTTCGCCGCCCTCACGGGCGCGGGGTGGGAAAGTGAAAAGGGGAGCTGGCCCCGTAGCCGAAACATGATTCCGCTCAACATGAGA